GGCACTTGTGTTGTCACATTTTATAGGAATATGATCATAGTGAAGTCCAAAATCTAGAAGTTGTTGTTTCATCCAAAGCAATTGTGCGCAACACCCAACGGCGGCAATGTATTCTGCTTCAGCAGTTGACAGAGCCACTGAGTTTTGTTTTTTGCAAAACCAAGAAGTGAGTGAGTGTCCAAGAAAATGACAAGTGCCACTAGTACTTTTTTGGTCAAGTCTACATCCCGCAAAGTCGGCATCTGAGTAACCAAAAAGTTCAAAGGTGGTTCCCTTAGGATACCATAATCCCAAATTTAGAGTGCCAACAAGATATTTGAAAATGCGTTTGACTGCGGTGATGTGTGACTCTTTCGGTGCAGATTGAAAACGTGCACACATACAAACACTAAACATTATGTCGGGCCTACTTGCAGTACGATAGAGTAAAGAACCAATCATACCTCGATATTTCTTTTCATCTACAGGTTTACCTTGCTCATCTTTGTCGACTTTTATCGATGTGCTCATTGGAGTTGCTGCAGGCTTTGAAGATTCCATTTCAAACCTTTTGAGTAGATCTTTGATATATTTCGTTTGATTTAAATGGATTCCATCATTAGTTTGTTTAATTTGTAGACCAAGAAAGTAATTTAATTCCCCCATCATACTCATTTCAAACTCACCCTGCATTTCTTTAGCAAACTCTTTGCACAAATTTTCATTAGTAGCACCAAAAATGATATCATTAACATAAATTTGAACAATTAGCATATCTTCTTTTTTGATTTTTATAAAAAGTGTTGTATCAATTTTTCCTCTACAAAAACCTTTGTCAAGTAGAAAATTGCTCAATCTTTCATACCATGCTCTAGGAGCTTGTTTCAAGCCGTATAAAGCTTTTGAAAGTTTGAAAACATGATCCGGGTATTTATGATTTTCAAAACCAGGAGGTTGCTCAACATAGACTTCCTCTGAAATATACCCATTCAAAAAAACACTTTTGACATCCATTTGATATAATTTAAAATCTTTAAAACACGCAAAAGCAAGTAACATTCTAATAGTTTCAAGTCTAGCAACTGGTGCAAAAATTTCATCAAAATCAATTCCCTCTTCTTGATTATAGCCTTGAGCTACTAATCTAGCTTTATTTCTAGTAACAACTCCAGATTCGTCCATTTTATTTCGAAAAACCCATTTTGTACCAATAACGGGATGATCCTTAGGTCGAGGGGTCAAAAACCAAACTTCATTTCTTTCAAATTGATTTAATTCTTCTTGCATTGCTAAAATCCAGTTTTCATCATTTTCAGCTTCTAAAAATGATTTTGGTTCAATTTGTAAAACAAACGCTAAGTTACCACAAATATTTCTAACAGAGGAACGAGTTTTTATACCTTCCGCCGCATCACCTATGATGAGGTCTTTGGGGTGGCCATGAGCATACTTCCATTCTTTTGGTAGATTTGAGTCATTTTCTAGAAGAGCATATATTTCTTGAAGTTTCTCCATTGTCATTTCTTCGTCATGTTCGCGTAATGGATTTTCTTCATTTTCCTTTTTATAAATGCTCTCCATGCTTGGTTGATTTTCTACAATATCATTACTTAAAAGATTCTTGGAAATAATATCGTTAGATTCATCAAAAACAACATGCACAGATTCTTCAACAAGTAGAGTTCTTTTATTAAATACTCTATAAGCTTTACTAGACATAGAATAACCAAGAAATATAGCTTCATCCGATTTAGCATCAAATTTTCCTAAATTATCTTTATTGTTATTTAATACAAAGCATTTACAACCAAAAGCACGCAAGTGACTAATATTAGGTTTTCTACCTTTCCAAAGTTCGTAAGGAGTTTTCTTAAGAATAGGTCTAATCATGGCACGGTTTATAACATAGCATGCAGTATTAACAGCTTCCGCCCAAAAATATTTAGGCAAATTATTTTCACAAAGCATAGTACGAGCCATTTCTTCAAGAGTTCTATTTTTACTTTTAACCACACCGTTTTGTTGAGGAGTCCTAGGGGCTGAGAAATTATGATCTATTCCTAAATCATCACAAAACTTAATAAAATCATCATTTTCAAATTCTCTACCATGGTCACTTCTAATACTACAAATATTAAGATTTTTCTCATTTTGAATTATAGGCCAAAACATGCCCTTTTCAAGGACAACAAGGATAGGGGGTGGCCCTCCCCTTTTGGAGACTTCAAGGCACCATCTTCACCGCTGAAATCCCTCAAGATTTCAGTGGTGAAGAGGCCCAAACACCAAAGTCCCGAAACTAGCACAAAATAGCACAAAATGAAGCCTTTCAAGACCTAA